ATCTGCACTGTAATTCATTTGCTAGAAGACTAGAAGCTAAAAGCACAAATACACATTTATAACTTAACTCCTGTCATGAATTTCATCTGTAAGCTTAGAATAAAATAATTTTTACCTGTGAAAGGCCGAGAAGAGGCTGCTGGGGGAGAGCATGAGGGGTCCTTGAGGCAGGAGAGTCCCTCTGTCGTTCACCCAGTGCAGATATCCTCGGGTCATGTCAGCCATGCCGATTGCTCGGGCCGAACAGTACAGGAACTTGTAACCATTCCTGTAGCAGTCAGATATTCAATAATGGGTTAAATATTTTTACGTAACTGGAGCCACCTCACTGTTATGCTGACAGAACAGTAATCGTCGTCTGTGTCTTACTCGTGCACGGAGTGGTAAAGCTTAGCGATTCCTTGATGAGTCCAGTCTTTCCCGAGCTGAGGCAGAATCTGACCAAACACATCTGATCTGTGGGAAGAAAATTATCAGGATATATTGCGAATGAGACATGTGACATTAGACTGTTATTTCTGCCTGAGGGTAAACACAATATAATGGAAAAAGAGGACATTTAGACTTTCTCGTACTTGGTGATGGTGCCGTCGATGTCGGAGATTATGACCTTGTCGTCCCAGTTCCACAGGTAGATGGTGCCCTCGCAGCGACACGTCCCCTGGTACTGGGTGGTTATGCTGAAGGTGACATCATTAGGCCCCTCTCTTAGCTTCAGGCTGGCCTGTAAGAGACACAAGATGAGTAGAGTTTAAAAAAGAGGACACCGATTTAGCATCACACTGCTATAACATTGCCTGACTCACGATGGACGTGTAGGAAGTGAAGGAACTTGTGTCATCCAAAGATACCAACAGACTACTAGGATTTATCCTTCACTGGTTTTACTTTGGTTCCCTGGAAGCTGTTCCTTTGTCTTATTTTGTACGTCACCCTGTTTATGCTCTTGTTCCTTTGTCCTGTTTCTTGTCCACATGCTTGCTTGTTTGGACCGTTTATATGTGCAAGTGTGTGTTACTTATTTTGTCATTTGTTTATGTTAATGCTCCGTTTCTGTGTCCTGCTCTTGCTGACCCTTTTCAATGCCTAACTTTAGCTGCACTGCCAGTATTAGCGATCACTCACTATCTGGTCAGACGACAGGCGGAGGGACTTCTTGTAGGAGTGACAAGGCGCCGGGGCCGGTCCTTCGGTCTGCACATGCTCAGTAGGTGTCAGAGCAGTTGCGACAGCGTTCAGCTCTTTAGTCTCATCGTCACTAGACCACTCTGCTGCTTTCTGCCTGTAGGAGAGAATACAGCCTGAAGTGAGACCAGCAAACAATATCAACCCCAGAGCAAACTGTGCATTTAGTCTGAGAAAAGGTGATCTGCAATGGTGATTGATTTTCCAACTAATGTATTAAAATAAGAACAATAACAAGACATAAAGCCATATTTATACTAGATAATGTGATTCAGGGTTAACCAAAACAAACCCTGCAGAATCATTTACAGCCACCAGAGGGCAGCAGATGCCCTAATCTGCCTGTACAGTAACTCTGCTTTGTTTAAGAGCAAATATGCAGCATGTTTTTATTCTCTTATTTAATAACACAACTGGGCGCATCCTTACTAATCTCTAACAAAAAGGTAAAACTAGCATCCGCCTGGTTCAAACAGTATTTAAAGTCTTTCTTCTGACAGCTTAATGATGAGTTTATGAGTCATCAAAAAAGACAGCACTGCTGGCTGACTAACATGCTAATCCAGCCTCTGTGGGACATGTTTACCCAACACTGCTTGTGTTGGTGTGTGACTGTAGTGTTGTGAGGAAGCCAGAGCTTTGTTGCTGACTCACTGTGTTTCTGGGGCCTGGTGAAGGGCAGGGCTCTCGCTGGTCAGGGACTCCTGCCTCTCTAACTTGGTCTCTGATGACGACTGACAAAGAAGAGACAGAATTAGCTTTCTATGAGATAAACATCTCGAGTTTAAAACCAGAGGTATGACATAAAGGTTCTTTCATAGTTCTTCACAGTCTTTACATAATAATGCAAAACAGGCGTGTGATGCTTAGTGACACATTTGGACTACATCTTCCTCATTACCTAGACTAATTTACAATGCAAACTCCCACAAGCAGTGTGGTATTCCCACTGACTGACACTACAGTGTAAACACACAGATGGAAGTGTCACTTTCCCTAAAGACTTAAGGCTGAGTCACACTGAGTCAGTACCTGCTTCACGCTGCTCTTTCTCCAGAACCACCAGCGTCCAGACTTTTTGGGCATTTTCTCCTTCACCCAGGCCTCCTCTGTAGCCTGCCATTCACATAAATTATTCATGTGTAATTATATATATATATATATATATGTGCAGACACACTTTAAAGGTCAATGAATACAATATAAAACTCCTTAGCCCGAAAGAATACCTTTGGCAAGTTCTTCTGAAAAGCCTGCATACTAAGTATCAATGGTGCTGCCAGTGTCCAGTTGTAATACCTGGGGGGGAAAAGAGTTTGTTTTTTTTTTAGCTGGTATGTACACATCATGTAATTACATATTAAGTCATATATTAAAATGTGGAAGACTCACCTGTTTGCAATTTTAACCACCAAATTCGGATTGTCAATTATTGCTGGATTCTCTGCAAATTCATTGTAGGTGATGATGTGCTCCATGAATTTATCTGCATTAAATGGAACAAAAAAGCCTGATTAGAACTATTTATACATCTATAACAACACAATCACTTGCTGGACTCCTAATGTGCTAAAACAAATAATGTGAACAATAAGAATAAGAAAAAAGATACAAATTTCAAGTTAGAAACTACTTTAGATCCTGTATTCTGTTTTCAAGTAGAAAAAAAACTAATGTAATTTTGAGACAGTTATGAGAGGAAACATGTTTTATGAGCATTACTGCTGCCAACAGAGATTTCTGGGTACCTTTAGAGATCTCAGAGTTCTCACCAACACCTCCACACAGCGACAGGGTGACGTCAGGGAGGTCACCAGCAGAGTCAGACAGACACTCAGTGCCGCTGTCTGCTGCGGCGCTGCCAACAGACTGTGGCGACTGGGATCCAGAACGCCTCCCCATCTCGACCCAGTGTTTAGGAACCTGATCAGACTCACTGAACACACACACAGTCAGTCCAGTGTCACACAGCACAAATCACTGAATTGCATGAATAGTTGCAGCCATTTCTACTGCACAATGATGCCAATTACTGTCTCTACTGTGTGTACAGTTAGGGCTGAGTATCACCCCTCGGTATTTTTTTGTATGAACCCAAATGTGGCGACATAGCAACACAGCAAGTACTGAAAGCTACTAAGTACCAAAAGTTGTACTCATACATAATTAAATAACCCTAAATGAGGTTACATGACTTCACTCTGAGAGGATTCCCAGGTACCTTTTTGGGAAGTAGCGGGCAACAACATCAGGTTCAAGTGCATTCAGGTCATCCAGGTAAATATCTTCAGGCCCCTGATGTTGGCTCCTCTTCCTCACACCTTTAAGAAAGCCAAGACAAAAGACGTTTACTCAGAAATCTTTTCACTTCCTTTTCTTTTAACTTGTGCATGTGAATGCAGAGCGGCCCCAGACACAGAATATGAACTCAGGCCTAAATAGAAACCACATCCTTCCTGTTAACATCCACTTAGCTGTTGAGTACGTTCACATAATCTGGAGATTTACTCATGACTTTCCCACGTCAGAAACCAACAACTACTGTACAAAGCAAAAACTGCTGAGAGGCTTTCTAGCCTCTTGTTTTTCTGTCATTCATAGGACTTTTTAAATGTTTATATCAATACTACACAATGAAAAAATAGCGCAATTCCCTTCAGTCAAGAACACAATGTACAGAAACTATAACACATATTCAAAGTGAGTAAGTAAGTCATGTTACTTTTTCTCTTGATGGGCGAGTCCGTGGGTTTAGACGAGGTTCTTGTATCACGACAAACTGCCGCCGAGTCTCCAGCCATGTCACTGCCTCCACTGCCAGCGGAGCCGCTGTCCCTGCGGCTGGGTGGCGAAGACGTCCACCTGGCCTTGTGCACAGGTTTTGTTATGGAGTTAGTGGAACACGGCTCAGTGGTAAAACTGCTAGACATTAAATCAGAAAGGTCTTGCTCGTGCTTGATAATGTTTGTGTTGTGCGACGAAGCTTCGGGGGGCTGGGGTTTGCAGCTGCACGGCTCAACTTTGATGGTCCGAGGTTCTGGTTTTACAATACTGCAAATGGGATCTGTGGTTCTCTCTCCTTCCCTCGACTCTTCTTCCATGGCTTCTGTGCTCAAGATAACCCTGAAATGTGTGTTCTCAGAGGGAGTGATGGTTAACGTCTTTGGCTCTGATTTGTCCTTTTTGTTGACCTGGATGCAAGAAAGAACATAAGATGAAGCTTAAATATACGCGTGCAAGTCTCTGAAAATCTATAAATGAGGATATGAACTTTCGGTCCCACTCCACGAATCTCCTTTGTCCCTAAGATCTAAGTTTAGACAGGATTCTACCAGTCTAGACTTGAACCTCACCCTGGTGGATTCTGGAAACTCTCCCCAGGTCCACTGCATGTGGGACTCGGCCCTGAGCATGCTCTCTGCCGGCTTGACCATCAGCTCAGAGTCGCTCTTAGGCGACATGGGCTCGGACATCTCCCTGCTGTAAACAAACACCACATTTCCACTGAGTCAGCTCTGTTTTGATGAAGCAGATTGGAAATGATGTCTCATTGTTTCTCTGTTTGTATGAACAGTGTAAATATTTGACAGTGGGAGTGGGAGGGCCGTACCTAGTGCAAGGGGACCAGTCTCCGTCAGAGAAAGGGTAGCTGTCCCATTCGAGGGTGGTGAGGGGGGAATGTTGCCTGTGGTCCATATTGTCCTTCATCGTGGAGAGAGAAGATGCCCTGAAGACAGGAAACAATAAAATTAACAAAAAGTTTACAACAAGTAACACACAAAGCTGCAGCGCGTGTCTGCTCACCGTCCATTGTGTGCACTGTGCTCCTCATCTGAACTGAGCTCACACAGCTCGAACTCCCCGCCTGCAGGTGTGGTTTGCTCCTCCTTGCGTGGCTCGGCCTTATGCTTCCTCCTGCGTCTCCTTCTCTTCTTTCCGGCTGTGCTGGAGCAGGTTTGGAGGTTTCCAGCGGCCGGGTCTTCTGGACTCTTCTCTACCACTGATACCCCACATCTGGGCTCCCTGCTCTTGAACAGAGCCTCTTCTGTGGGGATGGGCGAGGTCACCAGGTGGGCAGGGACAATCTCCTGTGATGAGGTAAAAATAACTAAATAAAGAATACTAGGCGAATACAGCCATGTGAGGCTGTTCTCAGCCACAGCAGTGCCTTAAGCTAAATGCCAATATCAACTTGCTAACATGCTCACATTGACAATGCTAGCATGCTGATGTTATGCAGGTATAATGTTTACCATGTTCACCATCTTAGTTACGGGTGTTAGCATGCTAACATTGATTATTGGCACTAAGCAAGTACAGCTGAGGCTGATGGGAATGTCATTAGTTTGTCATTAAATCAAATTATTTTCATGATAAACAATACTCACATTGTGCTTCTCGGTCTCCCGGACAAAAAAGGCCTCTCCATTGTCTCCAAGCTTCATGTGTAGCTCCACAGGTTCCCCATTGATTTCTATGTCAATCTGCAGTCAAGCAAACACATTTCTTTAAGAATTACTCTGTACAAAGCTTTACTGTGTGTAATTCACTACGTCCTTCTCAGTTGGCTTCAGGTTCTAGCAGGCATTAATAAGGCAACATATGCATTGTCTACAACACAGCTCATTGATACAGAAAAACTGTGCCACAGATTTTCCTGAAGAATTAGAGTTAAGCCAGAGAACAGCTTGTACAAAGGCTTGCTGTTTTCAGCATATGCCACAAGTTTCTATCCATGTTAGGGTTTTAATCAGAACTGGGCTGCCTGTGTGGAATTAGCTGATTAAAAAACATACAGTACACAGTATGGAAGTTGTGTGCACACACAATGCTTTCTTCCTTCTTCTTTAAATTATCAGAAAGGTTAAAAATTATCTGCCAGATGCTGACATTTGATGGTCAAATTCAGGTTTGTTCCTGCTTGGTTTCTCAACAGTGCCACAGATGCTTTTAACCCACGTGATTTACAAGAAACTGTCTTCACTGTCAACAACAGACTACTTCCTGTGTGCTCTTCTGTAAGACTTTTATTTTTTTGAATGAGATGAATCTTTACAAGTTGGGAATAAGAGGTTAAACTGAGCCATAGTCTGTGTATCCCACCTTAGTCGTCAGCTGATAACCACACAGTGTCTATAAATAGACTGGAAGGACAATCTGCTCTTGTGAGAAGCAGAGAGTGGATAGGATGATAATGTTCAAAGAGATTCAGAGGGAAGGAGAAGAGCAATTAGAGCCAATTTAAGCCTTTCAAATTCAGTGGTTATGACATTAAATATTAAGAACTGATTATCTTTTCCTCTGAGTAATGTGAGTACTCACCACTTTCTCCCTGGAGCGCAGCACTCCCAGTTTTCCGAAGCGGACGTGGAAAGGGGAGCACTGGAACGTCCCATCAGGCTGTCGGACGACGATCACATCGATGCAGCCTGACAGAGTGGCCTGATTGATCCCCTTATACAGCTCCTTTACTGTAACCAGCACCTGGCCCGCCAGCTGCCCCACGTAGTTCATGGTGTCCACCTGTCAGCAAAAACACCCTCATTAGCATATATGTAATGACAATATTCTAAAAACAAGTTTCACACACCTAGCAGAGTGAAACCACACGCTACTTTCTTTTATTAGGCCACAGTCTCCTGTTGTTCAGAATAGTCTGCAAAGGAAATACAGGCTGGTCCCTAAACGCAGTGGCTCTGTCCCATTTTCCTCAAAAGAGTCCTGAGCTGATCAAGACTTAATCAGGCCCTCGATTGCAGCACTAAGGCTGCTGCAGACCAGAGCAGAGCGGACAGTGTGTGTTTCTGTCTCCACAAGGAACACACTCTAAAAATCCCACGGTCAAAACTGACCCAATTTGAGTCAATATAGCTGGATACTCTGGCTCCTTTGAATCTAATACTGATTGTTAATAATATGTGTATACTTTGCAGCTTTGAAGGTCATATGCACATTTATAGCAAATACTATTTGTCTAACCATGGCTCCAAATAACCATATATATAGTTCTGTAATATAAATAAATGTCTCTAACTGTCTGCATACTGTGGTGACCTCCCCACTTGACTTCAAAGGAGCTGAAGTCATTTTCATCTGGTCTCTCTAAGTGACAACCGCAGCAACAGGGCCAATCTAAGGTTTTTGCAACAGAAAGCACATGACTATCTATAATTTAAAAACCCAAATAGGGCTCAAAGGTCACAGCTCAGAGTATTAGCCTGTATTATGTCTAAAGCATTGCAGCTATCCAAAATGTACTAGAACGATGTATTAGAAGGCTTCACATAAACAGAGGAATAAAATAAATAAGTGGATTTATTCAGTCCTGTATTCCAGCAAAATAAAACATAGACAGTGAATAGTACATGAGCTGTGACTCACCGTCACTTTACATGAGTATACAAACTACAGTGCAGTAAGCTTTCTGTCATAACTGCTCATCATAGCCGTTAGTTCGGCTTGTGAGGAGTCAGACAACAGCTCAAACATGATACATAACATGTTTAGTTATCTTAAAATGGGTAAAGAGATACACAAATTGAATAGTTTAAAAGGTTAAAAGCAAACTGTGATTGCTGCTTAAAAGGAGATCTATATGGGGGTTAACAAAAGGAAACAGATTTTTTTCCTTGGGATGTTACATTTTCCCCTCTTTTTGATACAAAGCTGCAATATTTACTGTCTGCTCAGTTCAAATCAGTTGACAGACGCTCAGTTGATGCATCAACAAACATTAAACATGTCTAGGAAAGTAGAAGCACAAGGTTAAACTGAGAAATGACCTCATTCTGTCAGGAAGATGAGCTAATATCCTTCCTTCGTTATCACTCTCATTTCTAGAAAGCTTTTAAAATGTGACAAGCTAAATAAAAGCCCTGGAAACCCCCAAAAGACAAACATCTGTGCATCTGAGGAATCAATCACTGAGTAAGCTGACTGAGTGATTAAATAAAACATCTTTTCACTCATATATACAGTTTCATACACACTGCTAATGAGACCACTAATGAAATCAATCAACAGTGTGTTTCAGTATTCAGGACAATGGTTTACACTGACTGAATCAGAGCTGCATACCAGCTCGGTGGACTTTGAAACCATTCAGACTCTAAAACTGGCAGCCACTGCACCAACTGAACTCTAATGCACTGAACTGGTGCTAGAAGGAAATATAACACGATATAATGATGAATACACCAAATATACCAGGAACATAACACAATGAAAGGTACCCATCACGATCTGCCTCCTGCTCTAGACATACTGTGTTTCTACAGTCTAGTGATGATCATCAACTCACTATCAGGTAACAACAGTCATACTTAACAACCTCTGTCCCAAATTGAACATTTGAACGTTGTTTTTTGCTATTTACATACACATACTTTTAGCATCATTATTATCATTATTATTTAACCAAATAATAATAATACAACAGGGACATTGAATATTGGAAATAAAAAAAGTTTTTTCCAAAATATGTACAATGGGAGGGAGGAGATCAAACAAACATTTAAATATTTACAAGCTCACACAGACTATTTACGTCGAGTTATATCCAGAAATGTTTGTAGACAGAGCGAGAGACTAGGTCAAACAAACTATTTACATGTTTACAGGCTACAAGGAACAACCTAATCCGGAGATCCGGAGAGAAAGAGTGAAAGAGAAGGTCAAACGTGTCGCAGGCACAAAACCTTGCCTACTCACTTCCTCTGCACGGCACAAGAGGAGAGGAAGAGACCCTGACGCTGCTGGCAGAAGAGGCCATAGACTGGTATCACTCTAAGAAGCATGCATGAGAATGAATTACACTATAACTGAGTATATTTTTGCCTTTCCCCTGATGGCATAGAGAAGTCACTATAAGGGTCTGAAAAGCCGCTAAATCTGGTAAAAAAAAGTCACCAAGTTGGCAACTATGTCGACGACTCTATACTTTATGGCTGATTTTGTGTATGTGACATAGCGTGGAGTTTGAATCCGAATTTTAAATCTGAACACCTAACAGTTAAAATAGTATATTCCATGAGACATAAATATAATAATTTAATCTACAATGATACATTCCTCTACTGTTCCAGACACTGTATCTTTGTGTCCACAATATAAAGTAGGGATGTGCAATATGGTGATAAATACCCAAAATATACTTCCCATCTGGTAATTTAATCCGTTTTTATCTAATCCATTTATAGCATTAGATAATGTCCCGTAAGAATTATTTACTGTGATTTATCCATGTGATTATTCAGTATATTGCTTTATCCACTCAATAGAAAGGTACATATGTTAAGTTTGGGTTAGGGTTAGAAATAGGTCTCTGGGTTTAAATATTGAGTCAAGATTAGAGTTAGAACTGGGTTTAGGATGAAGTCCGGTTTACCAGAGTGGATGAGATTCACAGCAGGTCATTACATTTGTGTTTAATGAGAGCCACAATGTAATAAAGAAACACATTTCTCACTCTGCATATTCAAATTGTCTACGTCCAACCAGCACACCCACTCACCAGAGTCCAAAGGGACTTCAGGTCCTGCTGCTCTACATGAAACCTCCCTGAGAGCTCCATGTCACCCCCAGGAGCTGAGCTAAGGCCTCCTCTCCTACCCTGTCCTCCTCAGCCAACCCGCTCCCGGTCTGTGCCATTCACCGCAGCTCCTGAGGCCCTTCTAACCCCCTCCGACTGAGCATGAACTGCCCCTAGCCTGAACCATAAAACGCTTACATAACCTCTCTTAGCTCCGGCCCCCTGTCACAGCCAACCTGAGCTTGAAAAGTTGTTTTTTTTTACAAAGAAAACAGCCTGAGGGAACATTTAAATCTATTTGTTTGACTAACAGATAAACAGTTTACTTATAATGTGAATTCCAATGACAAGAGCACATCAAAAGCTGCACTGTAGCACGTTAGTGAATGACCGACCATACTGGCATGCTACAATATGTTAATATTAATCTCAGCTGAGGCGCAGGAATTCAGTCAGCTGTTTTAGAGGTCGAGATCTAAACGTTGTTGTTGGAGCTACATGAAAAGTCAGCGGATCACCAGAGTCACTGGTAGGATTCATCCTATGGAGATCATGAATGTCTGTACCAAAACGATAAGAGTCGACAACCATTATAGCAGCTCTGTTTTGGCTAAATGCTCGATCAGTCTGATGGGAAGGTCATAAGTTTAGCAAGGGATCAAAATGTCTGTAGGCCTACTAAATATTAAGGTAATCCATCCAATAGTTGCCTAGACAGTTTCATGTTCATGACATCTTCTGTGCACCATGAATGTCTGAGCAAAATGTCAAATAATCTAATAGTTACTGAGATATTACAGTTTACTAGTGGACCGACAGCTTTCCATCCCTACAGCCACGTTGTTTAGTGATGACCTGAGGATTAAATCACAGCTGTAACTCACTGATATATAATATAAATGACAAAGCAAACATTACTGCAAGCCTCCAGCGTATTGTGGCCCCAGTTGACAGACTGTGTACGCGGTGCTCCTGCAGTGTGCTGTGGCGAACCACATTGTAGACAGAACGCTGCGATGCTCATTTAATAGACAAAGCAGAAGTGTCCAGATGAGAGTCATCAGTCATGATAGCAACGCTGCACAACCAGAACTCTCCAGTGAGCTGACTACACACTGTCTGCATCATCTACACGCCACACCAAATTTAGTAAGAGTTCAACTACCACAGCACTCCACATAGACCCCTCTGCTGCAGCACTTCAAGCCTGAATAAAACTGAGGTAGTGTGCGCTTGAAATATGCTGAAACTGGAATGAAATTAGAGTTTGTTCCCTGATCAATAATCAACGTAAAGTCCACTTATCCTTCTGGAGCTTTTGACCATATTAAACACTCATCAGATGAGCTGTCAAGTTCAACTTTTGGAGCCAACATGGACGAGAAGTCCTAAAAATACAGAGAATGATGGGAAGTTTGAATATCTGTAGTTCCCAGTTGGGCTGCAGTTAACAACAATGTTCATTGTTGTTTAATCTCGTGATTATTTTTCTGATTAAAGGACCAGTGTTTAGGATTTCTCTCGCAGTAAAGTTGCAAACTGCAACCAACTGAAACCGCTTGACTCAACCAAGCGTGAAGGAGAAACGGCATTCTGGGCTAAAATAAAAATGTCTCATTCTAAGGTCACAAAATCATAACAGTTCTTATTTTCAGGTGTTTGTACACTAATAAAAACATAACTATCAATATTATATTCCATTTATACCAATATATCTTCCTGGATCTTCAAGCGATTCATTCATTTATTCGTCAATAAAATGTCAAATAAATAGTGAAAAAGCACCATAATGAAGTAAAAGTGCTTGTTTATTCACTTCACTGCCACAGAAGAAAGCAGAGATCATGGAATCAGCTCAATGTTTAATAATCACTGAAATACTTTCTACTGAATGTCTGACTCATGAATTAATCAGCTAATTGTTTCAGCTCTCGTTCCAGGTCCAAGTCAGGCTGATGGTGACTGAGTGAGAAAGCGAAACTGGAGTTGTTTTGTTTTGTCTGTCTGTCTGTTTGAACTGTTTCCAAGGTCAAGACACAAGCAAACGAAAGAAACAAAAGACCTTTGGAATCTGAAACAACCTGAACAATATGTGGGCTTCCTCGCTTACAGGTCGTCCACGAACACACTACAGTACATGACCTTAAACTCCTAAAGCTTTCTTGTTTCTCTTTGCATTTCAAACTGCCCAGTAGCTATTCGATGATACGACCCAGCACAACCAGTTCTCATCCACGACACATCTGAGGGGACCTTAAGAGGTGTTAATCCTGTTTACAAGATTAGTGCAGATCTAGCTTTCCCTGTCTCGGCACGTTTCTCCTGCTCACTACGTCCAAGAGCCCAACGTGATTCTGCGTCAGCCAGTTGTTGTTTTAACCAACGTTGTTGTCACTGAGTCTGCAGTTTTTCTTTTTTTTTATTTAAACTGCCAGTTCTTCACAAAACCAACCACCACAATGTCAGCAAACTCAGCTGGCAACAGATTCTCACATTTAAAGAGCTGGAACCAGAGATAATTTGGCATTTTAGCTTGGAAAAACAATTCAAATGATCATTTAAGCACTAACAATGATGCTTTCAAGTATCTAGCATGTGTGGGTGGTATGGTCACTCTGAGGGAAAAAATACATTATTTATTTGAATATCTTCACATTCACTGCTCATTCAACTGTATTGCACACTTTAAGAAAGGAAAATAAAGCAATAAATATAGTGGTACAATAGCCTTAATCTTAAATATTGACTCTGATATCACAACTGAGATATAATACAGTACATACATATTATCTCTGCTTGAGAGTTTGCTGTTTAACACCATCAAATGATAGGAAGGAATGATAGAAAATACATTAAGTAGCTTTAGTATATCCATCTACCTCATAATGTTAATAACATAGTTAAAGATGTAGTCCAGTCTGTACAGGTGCACCTGTAGACAATGTTAATAAGTAAGTATTAAGTATTTTCGCCATAAACACCTATGATGCGTTTAAGGACACAACTGGAAGGTTTAATTTGACATTTAAAGAGACATTTGTGATAAAGTTGAATTGTATAACTACCAATAACGCGTCGTGCAGCAGTAAATACCCGGTTCATACATTATAACACTTTAAATACGATATTTAGTCTCAAACTCGCACACAAGCCGCTAAATGACTCCTCAGGAGGCTTTCAAGGACTCCACTACTGATTTACAGCCGAGAGGAGCCACAGCAACCCGCACTAACACAAACACTGTCACAGTATCTAATGGTACAGCTGAGTGAAATCATCCTACCTGCTGGAGTAGAGGATCACCGCGGGCAGTCGCACCTACTGTCGGTTCCTGCAGCGGGCAGGTTGTTGAGTCTCTGCTGCTGCTCCGCTCACAGCCAATGGGTGGAGGCCGACCGGCGCCACGTGACCCCGGGGTGGGGGTTGCACGTGATAACAACGCAGGAGGACTTATGATGAGGTTAATTATCAAGGTTAATTATTACACATTTATGAGGAATGTCGGGATTTTCCTGCACCGCAATGCTAAAGTCTCATCTGTCTCTCAGAAGTTGATAATCTAATTTAAAAATGACTTTATTTGAGTGTATCCGTGTAACTTTCTACTCCACTGCGTTATTCTTTGGGGTTATATTAATGTTAGTTAATTAATTAATTTAATTAGTTTATAAATTCACATTAATATTAAAAAATAATCGACAAATAAATTATATTGTAGCCTGTTATTACCAGTTAAAATGAGTCTATAGTGAGTTAAATTAGCCCCAGAAATACCAGCTGCAACAATAACATTTACTCTACTACAGTGGTCTACTGTGACCTTTGTAGGCCTACTGTTGCTGATATGTTTTGTAGTTTTACTTAAGTAATATTTGAATGCGGGGCTTTTGTTTGTAACAGAGTATTTCTACCCTGCTGTATTGATCATGTGATCATAATTATGTCTAACATTAGGCTCTGGGGCAGAAGGAGCAGTTTCACAGATATTATCATTCCTAAGCAAATATTGACAATTATCTTTTATCTACTCTGCAGATTTCCTTGTTGGAGCATTATCTGTATTTTCTCTTTTTATATTTGAGCTTTTTTGTTGTGCTTTGATTTTGCATTGATTTGCTTAACCAAGTTAGCCATCATACTAGCTTAGCTGTGTTTCGTTAATACAACATTAAATGTTAGTTACTGTATTTCACTCTTGTCCACTCCTGTTTGGGGACTTAATGTTGATCTTTCACTTGTTTTACGTTGTTTCTTCCTGGCATTATGGATAGTGTAACTAACCTCTGTGGTGGAATTCACATGATATAATGTATTTAATTTATTAAATTATAGTTCCTGGGTACAGATACGACATTATAGCGTTTAAGTAAGTTCTGTAACAATTATTAAATGATGAATAATCAAATTATGAACAATGAAATGAGTTGGTTCACCAGAACAAGAAATTAAAGACTGATTTGTGCAGATTTATGAGAATCTTTAGCACTATCTGATTGTTTATAAAAGTATGTTTAACCTGTTTTAACTGATACAATTTGATCCAAAATGGATGCCGTACGGGTCACAGTCAGTATTAGCAGCCCTGCAGGTGGTATGGGATTTTCAGGGATTTACTCCAGGGCAGTTCAGCGGGGCAGATATTTGACAACATAATATGCTGAACCATGAGAAACAAAGGGAAGTGTGCCACACAGCTGTCTTATAAATGAAAGTAAGGAGGAACAAGTGAATCGTACCATGCACTAGCTCTGGTGGGGGAGTTTCAGTTCCCTATAAAACAGCTGTGACTCAGACTATTACTGGTTGTTTCACGCAGGGATTTCTCAGATTGAGGACCTCTAGTTTGGTGTCTGTATTGTTAATATATTCCGAATATATGGCATAAAAACATGTTTTGATTTTAGTTTAAGCAGCTGAAAGGTTTAATCTCAATATGCTTTGAAATGTGTCAGTTACAGCAGTATGTTACGATGGATGCTGGAGCTAAATAACAAATACATCAATAAAAGTCAGAAGCAAAGTAGTTAGATACAGTTAAATAAAAATGTTTGTATATAAGGAGCTGTGGCCAGTCATCCTTGCTTCACATTGAACTTAACCTCTACAACTTTACACTTGTTGATTTGAATTAAGTCTGCCCTGTTTTACCCCAAGAATTTGCCATGCTTTGTTCTTCCCTCCAACTAGTGAGTGCCTCACCTCTGTAAACGTCTGTGTCACTCTGTATCCCAAAGTCTTCTGGCACTGTATACTAACCAGTGTGGTCATTAAATTGTATGCCAATAAATATGCCAACATATGCCTTTATTCAAGTAAATAGGATGAAAAAGGTACACACGATATATAAAATATCCAAATCGAAAGCAGGCAAACCATAAAAACAAGTGTTGTTATGAGAATGGGATATAAAACATAAGATAAAGTTCCATAAGATACTAATTTTAGTACACAAATGTAAAATATTGTTGTCATTTGCAACGTCTAAGTTACATTAACTGGAAACACATCCAACCAATCATATTAGGCACAAAGGCCGACAACAAATTTGTAGCATATGTACGCATGTGAGTAAACTCAATGCTTTTCTCCACTAGATTCACTCGGTGCTTCTGGCTGTGTTTCAGCCGGTGCTTCAGGCTCCTCCACTGTGTCTGCAGGCTGCTCAGGGGCTTCAGTCACAGGCTGGACCTCTTCTTTTGCATCTTCTTTTTGGTCTGAATCTGAAGCTTTGGGCTCTACTGCAGCAACGACCGCAACCTTCCCCTCGTCTTTCTGCGCTACAAACTCCTTGTTGTCTTCAACCTTTTCCATTTTAAGAGTCTTAGTTACAGATTCTGCAAGAAAACAATCATCAGTAAACATTTCATCTCAGACATCAACACCATGTCTAATTTCAGCCCTCTCACCCTTTCGCTTCTGCATTTTTGTTCCAGTAACTGAGGTTTTCATCTTTTCCTTTGGGGTGTTTGGGCCAAACACCACATTTCCCTCTGCATCAGTCCAATATGAAGTCACGCCCAAATCAGGCGTTCCCTCTGTGACCTCCAGCTGAGAGGAGAAAAACTGGAGTTAGACGTCACCGTGGGAAGAAAAATCCATGCTCTAATCAGAATTAACCGTCACACCATCCAAAGAATGATGTCCACTACTTACCCAGGAAGTTCAGTGAGGTCAGAAATATCACTGATTGCCAAGGTAATCCAGATACACTTGACTATAATGAAAACTTTCATAATATAATCAATCTATTCAAATCTGTTTTCACCTGATATTACATAATTTGTCATCTATTTCTTGTGTTTCATCATATCCGATCGTATTAATATATTTCAACTGATTTGTATCTGAAACACAAGGAGGGATGTTGCTTCACGTTAAAGATGCAGTAGGTAACTTTTATAAAAATAACTTTTAGTCAAATTTGCTGAAGCTTTCACTGTATCCTGACAGTAGCTATAAAATCTGGTTCTGGTTTTACTGCTCCTAATGTTACTTGCAAGACAGAAAACAACCAATCGGAGCTGAGAAAGATAGATAATTGTTGAGTTCCCATGTTGTCAATCAACTATCGTTATGTTACCAACCCAGCGTCTTTATGTCTTTCTTTTATAAAAGTTACCTACTGCAGCTTTAAATATTATTACTGTCTTAGTATAATCTGATTGTTCAGCCATTTTTTTTTTTTTTTTAAGTATTATTTTTGGCCTTTTTGCCTTTATTTGATAGAGATGGCTGGGTAGAAGCAGGAAGGGGGGCAGAGAGAGAGAGGGGACAACATGCAGCAAAGGGCCACAGGTTGGACTTGAACCCAGGCCACGGCCTATATGGGTCGCCAGTCGCCGACTGAGCTAACCGCGCGCCCGTTCAGCCACTTTTAAACGAGTTATTCCCAAATTAGAACATCACGAACACCTTAATCATCATAAATATTTTTTAAGTTTCATCTAACTAAACCACAGAGGCAGCCCTTAGGACTTGTCAGACATACAGTCGTCCTTGTTGGTTCAAGGAACAGTTCAACATTTAGGGATATAAGCTTTTTTTGCTTTAATGAGCAAAGTTAGATGAGAGGACTGATATCACTCTTCAGTATGAACCTAAAGTGAGGATTAGCTTAGCTTAGCATAAAGACTGGAAACAAGGGGAAACAGTTAGCCTAGCACTGTCCAAAGATAAATAAATCTGCCAATCTGCACTTCTATAGCTCACTTATTTATGTATTGTGTTGTTTGTTTACTTCGTACACAAACCAGTATGTGTGATAAAACTAATCAGGAATATGACGATAACCTTTATCTTAAAGAAAACCCTTCTAGTGAATGTTTGTATATATTTCTCTTTTGTATGATAGTACCGTTGGATGCTGGTGACCACAACAAGGGGAAACAGCATTAGTTTTCTCTCAGTTACATTCAGGTGAGCTTGATTTCGGCTGCTCTGTTTGTGCTCAGCTAAAGGTAAGTTGTTTTTTCTAGAGCATCACCAATCAAGCACACCGTGGTTACAGTAGAGAGAGGGGTTGTCTCCATGCTGGTGGTTGATCTTCGGAGCAGTCCGAGTCTACAGAAATCGTGACTGGGAGTGAAAAAGGGTAGTTGGAGTAAACTGAAACAACAAAGTGAATAGTGAAGGGTGGAAGGTTCAAACCAAAAGTGAGACAACTCAAAGAGGAAGAGGAGGAGGAGGAAGTGGGGGAGGTACATGCTCATTTTTATTAGTCTCATTGAGAAACAGGGGAATAGGAAGTGATGCAATAATGACTAAGTGATCTAACAGACTCTTACAATGGCGTCGTTATCATCACAATCATGAATAAAGGAGGCATCATAATCATTAATGATAGAGTGTGAAGGGGATGTCATAACAACGGTGAATAACATGAATAACAATAACGAAAGTGGGCAAACAGACAGTGTTCACTACAGACAGGGAGACAATGGAAGTGATGTCATGATCACAACATTCAAATTATTGTGAATAATAATAATAAAACAGGACTGAATGTAAAATCTGATGAAATGGCACATTACATTGAAGGATCATGTTTTAGCCCATTTGCAACACATTTTGTGCACTTCTATTGTTTTATTTTGAAAAGCATACAATGTGTTTTTAGCTCAACCCATGTGTTTTTAATGCATTTAAAGAATTTCTAAGCATGTTCAGCTATCTAACTTACTACCTACAGTCGTTACATAGCCAAGCGTTACTTCCCAGGCTAAGGAGGGTATCGTAACTAGACTAGCATTTCCACTATGTAATGCTTTTATATCCACACATGGCCTAGATGCTGTCAAAGCTTTGGGTAACATCAGCAGCTCTCTCCTACTCTTTGTATGACAGAACCATTTGAATATGTGGAAGAGTTATCAACAAGTCCTTATCCTAAAAGCCCTTAGGTCTAAGCTCTTGCAACACTAAACAACATTTTAACTGCCAAATGCAGCGACATGAACATTGTTTGAACACCATAATTTCTCGATTTTTGTAAGATGTTATTTGGTAATTCAACTAAAACAATGCATAAATTAAAAACCCATGTGTTCCAAATCCCCTTTAGCACTTGAATGCACCAACCTGACACATGCTTGTTGTTTGTGATTAACAAAAAAAATTATGACTTATGACTGTTAATCATGACTTCACATGTATTTCAAGCATGTTTCAGGTCTCTGCAAAATGCTTTCCATATTTTAATAAAGTATAAATTGTTGACTGACTTACTGAAAATGTATGGATCAATCTAATGTTATTGTAACTGGTTGGCAGTAAAGTCAGTTTAATTTGTAGCAAATGGGATAAAACATGTATTCATATGGCTTTTTTAATATACATTCCACACTAACTTCATGATTTCTTTTCCATGACTTAGCGTTGCATCCTATCAACACAACATTTCTTAAAACTATTATCTTTGGTTTTTATATTGTCAAGTAATTCTTTCTTCTTAAGCAAACAGAGTGATTTATCTCCCTGCATGCCTCAACTTTACACAAACACAAAGTTCAATTGCACCAGTAACATTTTTGAGTGGACATGATGTCACAAATGCATTTTTTAGGTTCAGATTTGTTATCATTGGACCAAATGAGGACGTATTTATTTAGTTTTTAAGTTACAACTCACACTCTGGATATCCTCTCTGAACTGTTCGGACATTTCATTTCAGATTCAGCACCTCTAGAGTTTATATTCTACACAAAACATCTAACACACCCTCAAGCCTTTTTCTTCCTTTAACTGTTTCCAGTGTTTTTCATTTATACATATTTACGACAAGATTTGGACCGCTTTTATTTTTTCTTGCCGCCCGCCTCTTCGGGGATGAAGACACTTACGGTGAAGTCCCCGCTCTCTGTGCCGTACTTGTTCTTCACCAGGATGCTGTACTTGCCAGAGTCCGCTGTGTTCACGGCGGTGATGGTGAAGCTGGCAAACTTGCCTGACTCGAACTTGAGGATGCAGTGGTCGTCGGACGTTATTTCCCTGTCGTTCTTCAGCCAGGTGACCTCCGGTATGGGGTCGCCCGAAATGTTGCAGGTGAGATTGAGGGCCTGGTAGGAGGATAACATGCAGCACACACCCATAAAATTATACAGGAATGACAATTACATTTAGGCTTGTGTGCAAAATATCAGAATCAGCAGAAACTGTTTACCTTGCCCTCCTGTATAGTGACCACATCAGGCAGACCTCCTGCTACTCGAGCACGACCTGAGAGAAACAACGTTACGTTCAACAATAGATACATACATTTTATTCCTATTGCACCTTCAAAAACTAAAGTGCTTTCCAGAAAATAAAAATCCTGTAAAGAAATAAATAAAGTAAACACATTAGGAAGGAAAAAACAAATGTTGGACTAAAAGTCAGTCATCATGGCAACTTTTTGGTGTTTTAATGCAAATGGAAGTCAAGAGCTTTGTCTTTTAATTAAAGATGGAACTATTATACATAAGGATATTAAATATATATGAGTATCTATAAACATTTATAGTCTGAATAATGTATTGCTTGAAACGTAATAAGTGGAATCTTGACTTTACAGGCAGTATTAGATGGAAAGTGTAAGGCTAGTTTAAAGTCTGAGTTGCAGCATTTTGAAACTCCATTATACAGTATCTCTACATAATATATGAAGGACAGGTCTTATTGATGATTCAACAGCTGCCTCTCATTCAGGCCTAAAATCTGTCGAACACAAAGCCACTTTAAACACAATATCACTTACTTCTTTCTGCAATAGCAGCAGCTCTGAGGAGGTAAAAAAAAAAAAGAGGAAACAACAAATTGGGTCAAAGGTGCTGAGAATCAGAAGTGAAAGTTAAGACTATGCATACTTCTTCATGCATTTCCTTGAATCAGAACAATTGTAGGTTTAAATTGACATACAACTTGTCTATTGGGAAAAGTAATAAGATGTCACATGAAGCACTTCAGCATGTGTATCTTTATTCATGCTGTGATTGTGGCTACTTAAACTAATAATATAACAGTTATCGAGTTGTTAAAAACTTACTTGAGTCTCTGGAATTCTGCAAAAGCGTCGTCAAATGCTGCAAAACAAAACAAGGTTGTAGGAAAGTTACACAAGAAATTCAGCTTGTGTAGATACACACAAGAAATCGGAGTTACAGAAAGTACAAGAAGTCTATTAGAGAGATCAAATGTCTTAAGAAATCACAGATTTAAGCAGCTAAGAGAGAAGTTTCTAATATGTTGATGGTCTCACCTTGACCAGACAGCTCAACAGTCCTCCTCAGGCCACCTTTCCCATCGTTGAACTCAATGGCATACTTGCCCGTGTCTTTCTCTGTGGGCTCTGTGATCTGCAGCCACAGCTGCTCTCCCACCACACCACTCTTTATACGGTCAGAGAAGGAGATGGCTGAATCCCTGACAGAGAGACGATACAGAAAGCTCTGTGACACGTAAACATGGAAACACGAGGAAGACTACAGGTGGACAAAGCACTGACATACTGTACTATTATTCTACAGACATAAAATCTGTCTCAAAAGGCACAAATTTATTTAATTTACACATTCACATTGATATGGTGAATGAATAGATAAACCATCATTCTTAAAGAAATCAGCTTAATAGTGGCTGTAACGCATGTCAAACAGCAGTGTAAGCACAGAACGTACTTGTAGTGCCATGTCACTTGGAGTAAATCGTTATAGTAGCTGACAAATGTGTAGAGTCGGATGCCTGTTTCTGTGCTTGTGATCTTAAGGGGAGTGGAGGAATTGGCTGTAATTGAAGAAAAAAGTCACAAAGAGGTGCACATTTAAAACATGAACATTCAAAAAGAATCAGGCACCACATTATTTGGGGAGAAAATGTTTATCTTCTTACCGATAAAACTGAAAACTTCATTCATCAAGTCTTTGAAACCTAGAAGAGAATATATATATAGTGATATATTTGCTGCAGTCATGAGATAATTTGTTATCTTAGTGTGGGTGTAAGGTTACCTTGATCTGTCAAATTCAATTCGGAAGTGTCCGTTCCTCTGTCATCCTTCAGAACAACCTTATACACGCCAGAATCTTTCTTGGAGATCTGACAGAGAGAGCAGGAATGTTAGACTCAGTCGTAAAAACAACACTGAACAAGGAATATGATTTGTATTCATTAGAAAAGGCAAGCTTTTCTCTTCTGCTACGGGTGCTGCAGAAAACACATATATGACGCAAAAAAGCAAAAAAGCCGACAGACAAACAAACAAACATCGATTTAAAAAAAAAAAAAAGCATTCTCAGGCAGAACGGCAAAACCAGAGGTGGCCGTTGGCCCATGATGATAACAGATAACTGATCCCAACTTTTAGTCTTCTCCAGATTAGGCTGTCGACATAGTCTGCTGTGTCTGCGGGGGAGTCGCGCTGAAATGGGACACATGTGACATCATGTTTATATATGTTAGACTACCTGGAAGGGATGGACTCACAGACGTTTAGAGACGATACAGTGTAATGGGAATGAGTTACAGAGACGCAAGAATGGAAAAGAGGGTTAGGTGAAATTTGAGAGAAAAGTGCAAATTAAAACAGAGGAGAGGAAGAAGACAGAAAAGTTAGAGAAAGTGATGAGGGCGTCCGACAATTTAGTTTGAATGAATTTAAGGCCATTGTTAGGTCTTAAAGGACCAGTGTGTAGGATTTAGTGGCGTCTAGCAGTGAAGTTGCAGATTGATTTGAATACAGCTTGTAGGAACTCACATAAAACATGAAAGGTCCTATCTAAAGCCAGTGTTATATTTGTCCTTTCTGGGCTATACTGTAGAAACATGGCGGTTCAATATGGGGGACTCCGTAGAAGAGGACCTGCTCTCTCTGTGGATAAAAATGGCTCATTCTAAAGTAATGTAAATGCAGTGATTCTTATTTAAGAAAATGTGATTTCCGCCAATAGATCCTCCTAAATGTTACACACTGGGCCTTTAAAATATGATATGTTAAATCTATTTTAAAGAGAAGTTATGCTGGTTATTTATATTAAGACCTTTTAGGAGTTTCCAGATATAATTAGTAGAAAATAAATGTTTTATCAACTCCCTTTTTGATCATTTTTATTCTCCGACTTACTCAAAGAACTCATCTTGTGGACCAACACTGAGGTGAGAGATGCCCAGAGTACAGACATAAACAGAGCTTTGTGTTTACATTCATATATGCAAATGAATATAGAGACAATTATACAGTACAGAAATATACATATATATACATAAATTCAGACTTCACACAGATTTTTTCCTCATATTTTTACCTGAGCAATTTCCAGTTTCAGCACTCCCTCGGTGAAGCCGAGATGCTCGTCTGCTTTGATCTCACGTCCGTCTTTGTACCACAGCGCTGAGGTCTCCTTCTTCATGTTGCCAACCTAAAATGCAGCAAAACACACAAATGTGACAAATAACGACACTTACGGTATTTCTTTAAAAGACTGCAGCATTATAAAAAAAATCTTTAAAGTTCTGTCTGACCTTGCATTTCAGCAAAACGCAGCACTCTGGTGTCACCTCATAACCCAAATACTCGATAAAGTGAGGACCTGGAACAAATATGGTTATAAAAATGGAAATCAGAACATGTTCTGTAAACGTTGATGAAGTAGAGCTGAAACCTTTAGTCGATTAATTGAATTGAGCCGTACCTTGCTTTCTGAACCATTCTTTCCTCTGGAACTCTGATTCCTTCTGCAACTCCTTGAATACTGCAAAAGAGTTTACAATGTTAAACACTTAAACACTTAATCCAACCACAAAATCTAATCATGTGATACATGTTTGGTTGCTATTAAATTATGTGCTAACATGAGTGTAGTTTGGGATCAGTGTTGCATGTCTGAACTGACCAAACGTAGCCTGAGGAGAGCCAAAAACCCGCTTTGACCAATTTTAAATGTTCATTTAGGAAATTATACGTTTTGTCCGTATAATTAGGTAAAGAAAAATAAAGGTCTTTTAGATATTGCAGGTCTTTTATCACACACACAAAAAAGTTTAATTGTAATCAAATTAAATGAAATTTGATTTTGGGTCATGCTAATGCTGAATGAATGCTATAAAAATACATGAAATCTAAAATATATTATTAATGTGTGTAACATGATTGATCTGTGCAGGATGCTTTTATATATGATTGTACAGACAAACGTACAATTACAATTACATATCATTATTATTATCACTATTGTTATTCAATACTGGAATATAGCCTAACCTTGTATTAATGGAAATTGCTCCATCTGGTAACACTGATAGTATTTCACTATGTGATTTCTTAAATGTTTTACTGCCCTCCAGTGTCCAGAACTTAGAGTTGCAGAGCTCTGCATTACAGCTGTACATACAAAACTAAGGTTTTAGAAGGCTTATGTAACAGCAATATATTTGTACTAAAGCTGATTTCTTGCATCACTTTAAATCATCTAGTATCCACTGATTCTCCATGGAGTTCTAGCCTCTAAAACGGTATTCAAACCAAGCAAAACTCTCATTAGGAATGACTTTATTTTGGTTGACTGAACATACCGTCTCCTATCAGTACCAAGCTGGACTGGTTGGTAGCTTTCCCATCCTGCAACTGGAAGGTAAAGGTGCCCTCGTCAGCCGGGGTGAGAGACTCCATGATCATCTCAATCACGCCGGTGTTCTTGTCGAAGTTCATCTTGTATTTCTGCAAACCAAAGACGACACCTTTTTAAACATAAAATCACACACAGAAAACACAATTCCAAGATGTATGAATGAACACAAAGTGCTGAGGGTTCATTTCCTTTTTTGTTCACTGACCTCCCCCTGAGAGAGAGCATTATCGTTGAAGACGTAATCCACTTTGCCGCTAGCTGTCATCTTTTCTGCCTGCAGCCAAAAGCGAACTCTGCCCTTCTCCAGCAGCTCCACGGCCAACTCTGACTTCAGGGGAATAACTAGTTTGAAGAAAGAGAGAGAGCCAGCTCAAAGAAACAGTCCAGTTCATGACACACTTAAAAACAGCAACGATGAGATCTGATGCTTAAACACTCACTGGGAAATTTGTGTTCGTGACTGATCTCCAGCAGCCTTTTCAACTCTGACAAAGATATGGGAAAGAGATTCATAAACAAGAGGTCAAAAAGCAAAAACTGAAGTCATTTTATTACACTTAACTCTTGAAATGTGTGATTTTCCTCTGGACTTTGTGACCTACCTTCCTCAGAGAGAGTGTAGCTGGATGAAGCACCATCAGTGTGGGTGACAAGACATGAGTAAATGCCAATGTCCTCCTCCCCTGGAGTTTGGAAAACAGCTTTGGACCTGCAGGGAAAACACATTATAGGAGTAATAAATAAGAACACTGAGTTATTTGGTGTCGATCAAGGTGTCTCAGCGTCATCTTACTTGTTTCCCTTGGTCTCTACGGTCAGGCGGGAGAAGTCTGTCATTTCCTCGTAGTTCTTGGACCACACAAATTTGGAGTCGGCGGTCATGTCACAGCATTCAAAGTTCATGGAGATGATACCGTCATCGTCAACATCCACAACTATCTCCTTGGTGCCTGAAACCCAGAGATGATAGAGTTAAAGGTTGAAAGGATGAACCCGTAAGGCTCTCGTCACCACATTTGAACATTTCTTCTTACCTGGTTTGGTCAGAGCTGGGACCGGCTCTGTCACATCTGAGGTTTTTCCAACTCCGGCTTTATTCTGAGCGCGCACACGGAACACATACGTCTCTGTTTCCTTCAGATTCTTAATCTGAAAAACATAAGAACAATAACCAGATTACACACCAGCTACTGCCGCTCATGTAAATAAATCTCCCATGTGAAAGTATGACAGCGACCTTGAGATACGCCTTCTCCGTAGCCTTATTGTTGACCCCTCTCCACGCCTCCTCTGGTGCGTCCGCCTCCTTGATGTCGACGTAGAAGCCGTTGACAGGATCACGGCCCTGGTACACAGGTGGTTTCCATAGCAACACCAGAGAGTCGCTTCTCACCTCTCTGATCTGCAGGTCGTGAGGAGGTCCTGTGGTCCAAGTTGGAAATACAACAGGTAGGCTAAAACACTGCAGATTAGTAAGTTTGATTATGTTTTTATTATTATTTAAGGTGGCAAAAGGTAAGAAATGATGTTGTATAAAATGTGTATGTTTTACTGATAATTGATGTTCAGCAGCAGCCAATCACAGTGTGAGCAGGAGGAAAAGTTCAATTCAGGACTTGCTGATCTTGACTTTATACTTTTACGTTTTTTGTGCTGCTGGTTTAATGTTCTATGTGTTCTTATTGCTTGTTTTGTTACTCTTTGCTGTTAATTTGTTCATTTATAGTGGCCTAACCAACCTGGCACGGCAATGGTCCACTCCTCGCACAGGAAGGTGTCACTGGGCAGTGACGGGATGCCGACACCTGCCATATTGGCCGCCCGCACCTGGAACTGGTACTTCCTATTCTCCTTCAGATCAGACACCTGGAGACAAAACCTTACTTATGAAATTGTCCTATAGGTCTTTAAAATCAACTCTGTATTTGGGGTTAGACTCACCCTGTAGGCCCTCTCGCTGACAGCCCTGATGTTGGCCTCGTGCCACTTCTCCGGCACGCCATCGATGACCTCACGGTAATCCACAAAGTAGCCGGTGATGTCAGCACCGCCGATGAAGGTCGGCTGTTTCCAGGCCAGCACCATGGAGTCGCGCACACACTCCAGGACACTGATGCCATAGGGTGGAGCAGGGGAGGCTGGGAGGGCAGAAGACTCTAATTAACACCATAATCCCTCAGTGGGGGGACAGGGTGATGTAATGAGAAACTGAAGCACTACAATGAGGTGATACTTTGATTTTCCAAAACAGTTTTTTACACCTCCGTCCAGCTGTTGTTGCTGAAATTCTTATAAAAATGCATTTCATGAGTTGCTGTTGAACTTCAGCGTCTCATTACTGAGAACCTTTCCGTTTACAGCAGGTATCAGCTGTTTTACAACTCACTTTCTTCCATGGCCAAAACATTACATCACCACTGGATTGTGTGTGACAATAGTAGGTGAATATCTGCTGTAACAGGATATTGTCGAGCCCACAACACAATTGCGCCTTTAACCTTTTATATCTTTTGTATTTTGATCTGCTTTAAGGCTTAAACAGTTTGAGATTTGGGGAAATACAGTTATTTGCTTTCATGCTGAGAGTTAGAAGATCAGTACCACTCTTATGTCTTTATGCTATAAATGAAGCTACAGACGAGGAAACACGGGGGAAACATGTCTCCATAGCTTATGCTAAGCTAAGCTAACCGGCTGTTACTGTAGCTTTAACGGATATGCACGAGAGTGGTATCAATCTTCTGAACTAACCCTCGGCAAGAAAGCATATTTCGTAAAATGTCATATCACTCCTTTATACTACTAATTAGAATGGGTAAGTAGTTATATATTATATTGAATATGTGGTAATAAAATACCAACAAAGGGCACAGTCATTTCTGGGACTTGTTTGAAGGAGTGACTGTTAGCAAAAGGTCCAAAAGCAGGGTCACGTAACACAGTGATAATAAATTGGACTGTCGTACACAAATAGTCACGTGAACTTGACACCCTCCCCTATTTAGGGGTGAGAAGTTGGTCAAAGTGCCTGAGAGGTGGACATCTGAAGAAGTACACAGTGCACCACCCAAAAGGTCTTAGGTCACAAGTGTCCTGCTCTTGGGTTGGTCGGATGACCCACTTTTCAAGTACAGGGAGTGATTATCTGGCTCCTGCCACAACATACTTGTGTGTGTGTGCTTGTATGTTAAAGTGCTCTGGCTACTCAATGTGATGGCAGATCCTGAGGCGCCAGGTGATTGACGCCGCCCGAGCCACCAAGTGAGGAGGTTGTGGGAAAGTGGTGGCCAGCAAAACTGTTGACAAGCGTGACTGTGTTGAGTTAAAGTTTGGTGGTGTTTTACAGTGACTTACCTTAAAGAGAAGAATACCAGTAGAGCACTTGAACAACTGTTTATTGATAATTAAAAGCATGTGAATGTAAAAGTAGAACCTTGCAGAGACGCTTTAACAAGGGGAATCATTCTTAAATTACATGGTAAAGTCAGAGTAGAATATGTTCATGGATTCCTAAGTGGGGGGGCGGGTGTAATTGCTGGAGTATTTGTAGTGTGTTTTTAAGTTGACAAAAAGATTTTCATCTCTGACCGGTGCTCACCTGCCGACTCTCTCCTGGGCCTCGCTGTCTCCCGATTAGCTGAAGCATCTACAGAGAACTTACATGCCTGTTTGGTCTCAGGCTCACGGACTGTCTCTACAGCCTGATCCTGAACCTTAGCAGGGACTGCGTCTAAGAGTGCAGCTTTGGCTATGTCAGTAAGTGAGTCAGAAACTGAGTCTGACACAGACTCTGAGACCAGGTCTTTTGCCAGGTCAGGGGCCCAAGACACACTGCCTCTCTTGCCACCCTTGCTTTTATTCTCTGCGGGGTCGGGCTGTGCTAGGCTTGAGCTAGCAGCTCCGGCCCCCTCCCTGGCTTCAGTGTCAGCCTGAGCTTTACTGCGCTTTTGTATAGTGTCAGGGGGGGACTGGACAGTCTCATGCGTGCCCGTCCAGCGTGGCCTGTGCTCAGTTAGTTGGCCCACGTTACCCCCCGGCCCCATCTCCGGCAACACACCATGAGGGATGCCGCCCCCTACAGGAGTTAGCAGAGAAAAGCAAAAGAGTTAAAGTTAAAACAGGCAAAAGATCCATACAGAGAGCAAAAAGAAGACAAGCAGAAACAGAAAGACAGAAAGCAATATTCAGTACATCAGCTTATCAAATACAGTAAAATGTCTTCATCTGACTGAGAGTGAAAAATGAAGACAAGATGACCAACAAGTGACATCCGCTGTGAGGAGGTGAGTAGAGTTCATTTGGGATTATGAGAGCATGCAGATGAGTGACGTAGAACAGCCAATGAGTGTGGATGTGCAGGCTTTGCACCAACCCTTTATGAAAAAAATACTGTGCTTTAGTAACAATGCCAATAGATTTAATCACCTCCTAGATTTCCACTCAAAAGATGAAATAACTGGTGTGTCGAGATTGACTGTTACAGCACACCATGATCTAATTCATATGAAGCTGTGTAACTGTGTCTGTTTTTCCTCAATGTTAAAAACTGAAGGCTGTAACTTTTCTTGTAATAAATGTCCTGGAAATTAATAGTAGATAGAAATAGTTATAATCTAGAACTGTGGTTGAACTACTGATTGCATTCTTTGTCATAGTTTTACCAATACGTCTGCCTGCAGAGAAATACATTCGCATTTTTACTAGTTGTGCTTCATAAGGGAAAACAGAGCATGCCGCTCAGCACAAAGCTGGCCAGTGAATGAGTGACATCCAAAGGCTGGAAGTTATGTTAGTTATAATGCAGTGAGACTTTAGGGAACACATGCAGGAGGTCAGAGAGAGCGTCTCTCACATTTATCACGGCAGCAGGATTGGTCTGTTTTGGACGTGTTAGGGCTCCAATTCAATATTATCATTAAGCTACTTTCAATGGAATCATATCTTGGTAATGTGGAGATACTGAATCAGTGCTTTACAGATTCTCAGCTCCTTCACCTAAGATAAACTAAAATAAACCATTAGGGATCATGTTTTGCATGTGTAAAGAGTTTTTTTCCTGATGTAAACTGGAAAAATACCATGATTTCAGCCATAACATTTAGCTCCAGTAGATATATAGGATACATATACAGAGAGCCTCAAACCTCCTTTTGTTCTTTAGCTCCTTATGTCCTTTTAGTATAATTAGGATGATTCAAAACCAGATATCATTACATTAAATATAAAAAGTGTTCGCTTCTGTAAAAAGATATAAGCTTTTACCAGTGGTGGAATGTAACTAAGTACATTTACTGAAGTTAGTAACTAATAATAATTTAATAATAGAATATTGTGAACCATTCTGCATAATTAGTTTGCTGATAATACTTTTATTCAAGTAACATTTTGAATTCATGACTTTTATTTATAATAGTATTTTTAGACCATTGTATTTTTACTTTTACTTAAGGATCTGACTACTTCTTCCATCACTGGCTTTTATTACAAAGAAAAAAATATTTTCAAATAGGAAAAAAAAAGTCTTAAACTAACTCAAATTCTCTTGCAAGTCTACTGAACTCAGTGCCCTGTCTGTCTCAATCATGCTGTAAGTCACTGGAAAAAAAGTGTACTTTTTTGTCAGGGGAAACCGCCTAGATGGTACAAAAATAGCCCCTAATTACCTCAAACCGCCCAAACACAATTTTTATCCACCCAATCATATAAAAAGTAGGCCAATCTGGCAGCACTGCAAGTACATAACGTACATTAAGTGTCATAAAACTGTGTATTTCATAAATAATTTATAGTCTTGTCATTTAAATTCAGCTAACTATTAAACAGAACAATACCACTGCCCGGTTAGCTGCTAAGAGAGAGGTTAAGACAGAGAAAGTCAGTGCAGTTTAAGGGTACCGATGGGGTGGGGGAGGTGTGTGTGTGCTGGTACCTTGAGCACCATGTGGGGGTTGCCGACACGTCTTGTGCCCAGGATAGGTGAGGGAAATGGGGGGTGGTGGTGGTGGTGGTGTGTGACATTGGGCTGGTTTGTAACAACCACTGAATTGGATCGCACTGACCCAAATTAGAGGAAGTCTACAAGTCCTGACCCTGACCCTGCCTCAGGCTGTGCAGGGAGGAGGAGGAGGAGGAGGAAGAGGGGTGGATGTGGCTGGACAGGGTGGGTGCGTGGGGCACATAACGTGACAGGGTGACAGAGTGGAACCATGGTGGAGAAAGTGTGGGAGTGTAGATGCCGATGATATAAAGAAGTGAAGACAATAGCGGTAACCTACAACATCATGTTAACATGTGAAGGAAAATACCAATTCTGGTCATTTTATGTGTTTTATCCAAAACTGTAGCAGCACTTTAAAGGAAAATTACACCAAATGTTTAAATTAATCATCAGTCTGTGGTTTTGAGTGCATTTCAGGAGTCATTTTATGGTGAAATGTGATCTTTTTACACGTACCTCTACTTCAGAAAAAAATAAATGGGTTTTGGCTGCATTGCATTGTGTATAATGAAGAGAAAATGCTATCATGAGTTGTATCTGTTGCATCTGCAATGTTGATTTCTCTACATGATTGTTAAGTCTAAGGAACTGATATTTTAAAACCTCATAAATAGCTTAAATATCTAAAATAATATCCCTTATAATTGTCTGTGTTTATCCTGGAACATCAAAGTATGAATGTTTCTCTTGGACAAGAGATCCTAATATTAATGAGACTGCCTGATTAAATAAAGATTGATATAAAATGAATACAGAAATGCAGACTTCAACACCATCAGCTGATTTTTAAACATTATATAAGGATATTTGTCACATAAACAAACAACAGCATAAAGTACCATTCTCAGTATCCTGTGACTCCTGCATTACCATCTCGTATTATGATATGAACATTGGTTTTACTCACCAATAGCAGCCTTAACCTCCACAGGCTCAGACTCCTGGGAGAACTGGCTGAGCCCTGCTGCGTTCACTGCCCTCACCCTGAACACGTATTTCTCTCCTGTCATCAGACCGTGGCAGATGAACCTGCAAACAAACCGGCAATATGTTTCTTTAAAAGCAACTAGCCTTTATAATTCTTGGTTAAAACAGAAAGAGGAGTAGTTTTACCTGGTGGCATTTACAGGCTTGTTGTTGCACGGCTCCCACACATTGCTGTCCACAATACTCCCCTCGATGTAGTATCCCACCAACTCTTTGGCCTCACGGGACGCTTCCCAAGACACAACAACTGATGTGTCCGTGTTTCTGGTTGGGACAACTTTGCCTGGGGCAGATGGGATATCTGTGGACCAGAACATGGGTCATTAACTGAGATTGTAACATTGCTGCTGTTATGATGTCTGTGCGTATGTTTATGTGTTTTCTGACCAAGCTTGTCGCCAACAGTGGTGGACTCAGTTGGGTCAGATGGCTCGCCGACACCGGCAGAGTTGCAGCAGCGGACGCGGAAGCTGTAGGATTTCCCCTCGGCGAGATCAAACAGTGCAAAGCGAGGAGATTTGACCGGGATCTCTGTGTTCACCCTCTGCCAGCTGTCTGTGCCCGAGACACACTAAAACAAAAGCAAGGATACAAGGTCATCTGTCACAGAAACACTGGCATGTAAGTTTTAGTTCACAGGTAATGGTGTGTTTTAATGTGGATTTTTCCTTTAATAGGTTTAAAATGAAGTTAAATAGGTATAATTTACCTTTTCCACATAGTACATGACCCCCTCAAGGCATTTCCCTCCAGGTGGCTTCCAGCTCAGCACCACGTAGTTCTTGGTTGCCTCTGTCACCTGCAGCTCAAGAGGTCTGCCAGGGACAATGCTCTCTGATAGTCAAAAGATTAGGAATTAGGTCCCTAAACACAGCAGACGTGCAGCAGACAACGTAACCTTCGTGTCACCGGGTGTCGTGGATATGAATGATATAAATTCTTGGTATTAAAAATGAGATTTCCTACCTGCAGGCTCCTCCTCTGTGACAATGATTTGGCCAGTCCAGGGAGCAGAGGTACCTGACAATAAGTATGATGTGATGTATGAATGATGTAAAATTGTTTTAACAGGTTTCAACATTTCCATATTTTGCTCCAGTATTCATTTTATTTTATTTTTTGGACCATTTTCACATAAAAAGCTGTTTTTCTGTTGTGGAAAAGCCTTTGAAGCATTAGAAAATGGCCCACCACCACACTTATAGGTCCAATAAAGCTCTTTAAATATGGATAGCAGACTGGTTGTGTTTGACCAGACACACAGTAAACGCTGCTGTACCTCTCATGCGGGCGCGATCAGCCGGGTCCATGGCAGCCACCGGCTCAGAGACCCTGGACGGGCGGCTCATGCCACTCTTGTTTACAGCACGCACGCGGAAGGTGTAGGAACGGCCCTCCACCAGACCAGTGACGGGGAAACGGGCAAACTTTACCGGAGTGTCATTGCACTGGATCCAGTGGTTGGTTCCAACCTCACATCTGTACACATATTACAGTATAAATCTTATATACTCAGGTTTTTATTAAAAGGATTTTTAATTTTATGGGGGATTTAGTACTGCTGTTTATATATCAGCCATATTCTTGCTTGCACTATTGTGGTTTCATACATTTTTAGCAGCATTAGAGTAATAACAGGCAGCGACATATTGACTAACCTGTCCACAAAGTAGCCCAAGATGGAGCTGCCACGATCGATAGCTGGCTGCTTCCAGGTGACAATAATGTAATCCTTATTGGCATCAAGACAGCGCACATCCAGAGGGGCACCAGGGGCACCTTCAACCTCAGCATCAGAATCTAACACAAACAGTAACAACACCGTCACGATTGTCAGTATGAATAAACACTCTGTACAAGTCCATTGTTTTTTATTTATTTATTTACCTTTAAGCCAAAGATTTGTCTGTAATAAACTGATTCTACTGTAGCAGGTTGTTTTAAAGTGAGCTGTGTAGCTGCAGGGCTTGATGCCAGGAATGTTTCTGGTCCTCAAGTCAAACCCAAGCGGAGAGCAATCAGCGGCAGGAGGACAGAATTAGCAGTAGCCCGCCCCAGAGTGAAAGGGGATAAGAGAGGTGACTCTTAAAGAAACATAAGGGTAAAGCCAGGGCGCCTACTGTAGAGAGTTGCATCATAAAGTAAGAGCATGTTTTAACTGGGTACATGTGTACATATGTAGCCTGTATTTTACACTTTCTTTTGTGTTTTCATTACTTAGAATTGAGCTGTTTTTACATCTACAGAGGAGGGGGGTCCTTCTTCCACCAGAGGCTACCAGTGTTTTTACCACTGCCCAGAAAGGATAAATCATTTCACATTTTCACAAAGTTTTGCTGCCACCATAAGTTTTCTCCTACACCGCTTGGAAGGAACTGAAGCTGTATTTTCAGCTTCAAATGGTTGCAAATCTGGGCAAACTTTCACCACTAGACGCTACTGAATCCTACACAACTGGGTCTTTTTTAATATGGCAACTTAATTGAATGACCACTTAAGGAGATATACGGTGATAAAACAAGAGGAGATAATTATAACCAGAGTGTTTGAGCTCACAAAGAGCAGTAAGGAAACTGGGCAGCCTATTGTTTCTCCTTGAGGCAGATATTTACAGTATCTATGTGCACTCACAGCCAGACTCATTCCATAGCTGAGCCCTCTGAGAATAGCCTGACTGCAGCCAGGATCGTATAGCGTTTTGTTATGGAGACTGTACCTGGCCTTTTCTTCACTGGGCGACCCTGAGCTGTAACAGGGGGACAACAGAGTCTATTTTCCAGCATGTTCATGCTCAACATGTGTAGAAGCTGAAGCTTTAAAGGTCAGATTGTCTCTAAAGGCAGCAAAGATAAGCTTCACTGACCGCTTTTTCCATGGTATTCAAACAGATGCCAGGGAGTTGCCACCCGGTGGTGTCTCTATTAGTGATATCCTATTTAAAACCACTCCCTCACATTCAAACACTTTGACTATTAAATGTGGTATTGTCATCAGGTGCCAGAGGACGTGCTGTTGTGACTTCGACCTTGATCCGATGACATACTTGACAAAAACAAAGCTGAGGGAATCAGGCTGCATTAAACTTGTGTTGACTTGGATTGCAGCGAAAATGTCTGTGGGGAGATATTTTAGATATGTAACATTTTATGGAATTAAAGGCTTGAGGACTTTTTCTAAATGTACCTGAAGTGAGATTTGAACAATGGTCAGCATGGCCACAAATGTGAGTCACAGCAACATTGGTGCAACATCTGGATATGACATTTAGGCAAGTAGCAGTTGATTTGGGGCATATTCATAGTGAGCTGTTATCTCAAGATACCTCAAGATACCTCAAGATACCTCAAGATATCTCAAGCAAAATAAATGTGTTTCTGGATGAGAAATGTAAGGGGGTTGAAACTTAACAGTGCACATAAAAACTTTAGTCTCCCAAATGAGATAGCCATCTTTACACGTTACTTTTAGAGAAGGTGTACCCACCTCTGACAAAGATATAGGCTGAGTAGGTTTCATAACCAGACTTGGTGGTGACACGCAGAGTGTAGAGCCCCTCGTCCTCCTTGTTGAGGTGTGTGAGCGTCAGTGTGGCTCGATCTCCACTCCAGTGCATGTGGTTCCATTTAGAAGGAGACAGCAGAGCATCTGGAGAAAAAATACATAGGATGGCTCAGTAACATGCGTCACTAATATCCCTCTTTATATGCAGAAACATGCAAATGGAAAATCTCTATTTATTCAACTCAATTTCTACTTTGTTAGACCAACCAAAGTAGTACAGTAATCCACATCTTGGATTCATCTGCTTACCATTTCTGTACCACTGGATCTCTGGCTGGTAGCGTTGCAGGGCAGGGTAAATGATGACCGTACATCCCAGACTCATGGTCTCCCCCTCTCTTCCAAATGATACACCAAACCTATCAACAATGTGAGTCTGGAAGGTGATGCCATACTCAGACACTGGGCCATCTACAGACAAAGCATGAAACAGCAGAGTCAGAGTTTGGACTGGCATTATTGTGTTAGCATACACACAGCAGACAGGAGGTAAGACGACCGTATTCAAATCAAGTGCAAGAACAAAACATTGCACTGTGAAAGAGACAGAAAATGATCATGATCAATAATCATATCCAAAAACATGAACAGCTAGATCAAAACTTTTCAGCCAGACAGAAGAAGGTGGACACATATATCACGTGTAAGAATAAAGGACAACAAACATATACAGACCAAAAAGAGTGACTCTGAAACTACAGTATAGAGCTCACAGAAAGAAGTGTGGGAAATATCACAACATGTTGTCATGCATTAAACAGTGAAGCAAAACAGACATGTGAAAACCCTTGCTGAAATAATAAATAAAAGACTCAATATTTAGTGATATAAGTTGTTGAATTTGTGTTAAAAATATAATTAGCACATTTATTTACACATTAAATGTTTACAATATATGTAGGATTAAATAATAAAATAAGAAACCTACTTTGTAACACTCTAGTTTTACCAATACATTCTACTTCAAAGACTCTGTCAACTATAACACTATTAAATGTACTCTCATTTAATGGAGATGCATCTTGCACAGTCCTTCTACCCAGTGAGAACATAAACTTACAAGGTTGCATATCGCAACATTGGAGACGCATACAAAGTGGAACCGGACAAGCTGAAAAATCTGTAGATTTTTCCAGGTTAACTATTCAAGGAGAACTGTGTACTTCCAAGTGGCCATGCAAGGACGCAGTCAAAGTGGTCAGTGGAAACACCAAGTTCACCAAAACGTTTTCAAACCAGATTCTTGTGACCCTGTTACCTTCAGTACTGGCCCCTGCATTGTCGCCGCAGCATCAAGAAAACAAAAAAGTTGTTAGTGCAGTAGCACCCATTGTCTTTTCCAGCCCCAAACCCACCACATCCCGCCAGTTAACACAGCATGAGTAATGTTAATATTATCAAATTATTATTATTTTTTTAGAATGAGCAAGAATTGCACAATGCCAACATTAAAGCTGCATTATTTTGACATTGAATCAAATGCCTGGTCTACATGTAATGTGCAATAAGTGATATGTTACCTAATTGTTTAGCTTTGTGGGGCCTTTTAGCTCACAGTTTTGGTTTTACAGACAGAAAATCTGCTGTTCAGTCTCAGTTCTCTCATTAACTGTGCTTCCAGAAGAGGGCAGATGTTTTAAGCAAATAGGCTCTGATACAGCAGCTACAGTACAGTACATGCACAGTGCCAAACAGCAGACAGACAAAGTAAGCAAATAGCTAATGAAGATCAAACATCTTGCAACTAAAGACACAGATATTTATCTCAAGAGTTAGTGGAGACCAAAACAGAGCTATAAAGCTATGAGGAGAATTTATTTATGACTTATATTTATCAGGTGGTGAAAAACATAACAGGTATAATGAGCAACTGTTCACTAACAGGTTTGACTTAATAAGATGGAAATATGTCAAGGCTGTGTCTTTCAGCTTGTTTTTCTGCCCCCTAGTGGACACTAATGCAGCTTTAAATCCACAGTACAGCATACAATAAAAACTCAAACTTAAAAACTTCAGACTTACGTCTGGGTGCTGGCAGGGACTCATCAATTTCACCTTTGAACCCTATAGAGAATAAGAGCAGTCGCTATTAACATACATATAACACATAGAGGGGAACTGCATGTACAGAATTATACTGACAACAAATCAAAATCATGTAGGAAATGACATACAACACTTCAGTTTTACCTTAAAAATACTAAGCAAAGTGTAATAGATATTGTATATTTTAGTAACAAGTGCTTATTTAGAGTAGTACAATTACCCTTGAGTATAATTAAATAAAAAACATGACAATTTACTTTAGACGTACTCTTGACTTTTTATTTCAAATAACCAAATAATTTAAAGTAGGAAAACTTTAAAAACTACATTTGGAAACTTGGAAACATACTGATGCTTCTTGGGATTTTAAATTCAAAGTTGTGTTTGAGAGTTTGTTCATGTTGAGAGCATTGTGGGTGGATAGTTTTAGGACTCGGTGAAACCTACTCTTAACAACGATGGAGGCAAAAGCAGACAGCTCTCCCTTGGAGTTCATTGCAGAGACACGATACTGCGCTGTGTCATCAAAATCACATCTGAAAGAGGAGAGCATCATGTGATCAATGTCCATGATACGCATCTCTTAAGGATTCACATGTACAGTGCCCTTCCCCCACCTTAACCTCAGCCCTCTCAACCATGTAAATAATACCAACTATGTGAGCCCACGACTGTAAAGTGCTCCGTGACTTCTGACCGGGAATACTGTGGCAATAAATAGACACCGCTGGTGATGTCATCTGCACCAGGTGGTGTAGGTCTCTGTACCGGGGCTATGTGCATTAAAGTTTCTGTTGTGTGAAGACCAACAGTTAGACTACTGTCAACATAATCTAATAAAATGTGATAATATAATTTGTCCTGGGCAAACTAAAACTAAACTAACTAAAGCTAAAAGTAGGTTTCCATTTTAACACAGCAAGCATGAGGAGGCATTGGTGTGTATGTTTATTGAGCTTTATCTGAACTTCTTAAATCGTGCCCCAAGTCTCCCAATACCTCTCCATATTATAATAAAAAATAATACTGAAACTAATAAAAACTAAACTGAAATGAGAAAATCAACTTTAAAACTGATACTAAACTGAATTGAAAATAAAATTTAAAAATGAAATTCAAATAAAACAAATTGAAAATACAAAACTATAATAACTCTTTGTTATCTGTGGCAGCCTGGGAAATAATGTGGCTCCTCTCTGGCTCACAATTCAACATTCTCAGTCTGTTTGGGAAAGGTTCAATTCAATTCAATTTTATTTGTATAGCGCCAATTCATAACAAAAGTTATCTCAGCACAGTTTTCAAACAGAGCAGGTCTAGACCGAACTCATTACAGCTTATTGGCTAGATGGACACAGCCAGTGCTAAAGTAAGGTGCAGTATGAATGGATGATGGTTATAAAGAAATCTTTCCCCTGAAGAGGGTTATATTTATTTAAATATGAATTACTTAATTCACTTATAGAATTGTTCATTTAAAGACACAATGAAATTAAAAATAAAGTTATAATCCTTTGTCCTTGTCATTCATTTACTGGCACATCTAAAAAATATTATTTTCTTGTCCTGTAATATTAAAACATACAAATATGTTTGATGACTTTTCTTGAGCTTTGGGGATCAAATGTGATTTGGGGTGACCAGCTAACCAATCATACTTCCATTACATGCTTTTCTACAGTCTATGGTCTGTTATGAAGGTAAATATTCTTACAAGCTGTATTAAACTCGATTAAAAGGGCCTGAGATCTAAATTCTGGCTAAAGCCTGTGAAACAAGAGATGAGGAGCTACAGCTAATAACAAGCCAAGCTAAAGTAAGAACAAGAAGTCTACACAAGCTAAGTTGTATTCAAATTTCAGGGCTTTCTGCAATGTTTCTTCTGTATCTACAAAACCCACTCGTTATATAAATATTAAACAAGAGCACAATATATTTTAGCTGCTTTTTGAGAAGAATCTATTTGGAGAACTGTGGATGGGAGAAGCTACACCTACCTGTTAATCTCCAGTGAGTGCACGCTGTATCTGCTCTCAAGTTTATACTTGCCAGGGTTGGAAAGAGGGTCAATTGCCACATTGTTTTTGTACCTTATAGTAGGAGGCAGAGAACATGAAAGAAGACAGACCAGAGGGAACAGACAGAACTTAAAGAGGATGAAACCAAATCAAGAGGACAATGATAAAGCCATGGAAACTAGGTGAAGCTCAAAGGAATAAGCAGGATGCTGAAGGAACGGAGAAGATAGACATGAGGTTATGCTGCAGGTGATGTATGTATGTGACCTACCATACGACCCGGGGGTCGGGCCAGCCACTGACAGTGCAATGCAGCCGCACGCACTGCTTCTCCCACACGGTGTGGGAGCGTGGTTTAATCACAAACTCCGGGGGATGCATCAGGCTATCTTCGTTCATGCGCTTAAAGTGTTCCTCGTGTTCATGGATCTACAAACAGAACAGCACTTAAGCATTAAATAACTCTGGACAGTTGTACCTTTACCAACACATAAACTGTTAAACCAAAACAAACATTTCAAAAAACATCACCATATTTCACCATTAATTCACAATGCATAGTTGTGGCAAAAACAAAGCTTTTACATACACAAAATGAGCAAGATTCCAACATATAACATTTATTTGTTTTACACATGCAAGATGTACGACAACTGTTATGAGTGTGAGTGTGTGTTGTTCATTATGTCCTGGAATATCTAGGAGTGTTGAGGCCCCATCTAGTTGTGCATCCAGTAAGTCAACACCTAATATGACAACACCACTAGGACACTGCTTCCCTGTGTCTCAAGGAACACGATCTCCTGAGGAATTTGGCACCCGGTAGCAAGGCTATCTGGCAGAGTGGAGACGGATAAATACAGTGAGGGGGTCGCTGTGGCTTTTATGATGCTTAATGAATGGTCAGATACTACTTGCCATAATCACCCAGGGACATAAATAACTCCCTTGTGTAAGGAGTAGTAGTAACCACTTAGCCACAGGCACTTGGTGTTCCTAAGCAGCACTACAATTAATTAAGCTCAGTTATGCAACTTTGCAGATGACTTAATCCTGTCACTGTATGTATACTGTATAATAATAAACTTAAATCATGGATTTCTTTTTCACTTTGATGTCTCAAGTAAGACATTTTGTGATGTTATAAAAGAGGATGATGTACTTTGATGATATCACAAGTAACAAATGATAATTTGTGGTTCAGTCAGAAGGGTCTACTGTGACGCAACAGGTAACAACAACAATCTGTGATATCATAAAACTGAATGGTCAACTGTGATGTCACAAGTAAAAAAAGCCACTCTGTGATGTCATGAAACAAAATGGTGT